GACAAGGAATTGATATAGAAGATCTACAGAGCACTCACACAGCTCAACCAGAAGAAAACAAACAACTCAATTAGAACATGGGCAGAAGAACCTGTCTCCAGAGAAGACATGAAGGTGGCTTGTGACATGTGAAATATGCTCATCACCAGCCAGGGAAATTCAGATCAAAACCAAAACCACAGTGAGATATCACCTCACTCCTGTGACAAGGGCTCATATCAAAAAAGCAACATATGAGTGCGGGTGAGGGCCTGGAGGGAAAGGAACCATATCACACTCTTGATGGACAGGTCCAGCCCCTGTGGAAGGAAGTGTGGAGATTTCTCAAAAGACGAAAATGGACGTAAACATGTTCCAGGGATTGCGCTCCTAGGTATCTACCCAAACAGCACAAAAACATTAATTTGAAAGGATATGTGTACTCCTATTTCTAGCAGTACCATTTACAATAGCCAATATATGGAAGCAACTTAAATTCGCAAGTACTTATGGGTGGATCAAGAAGACGTGGCACATACACTCAATGGAATGTTATCAACGATCAAAACTGATAAACTCATGCCATTTGCAGCAACATGGATGGAGCTGGAAAGGATGATTCTAAGAGAAGAGAGCCAGAAGACAAAGGGAAATACAGATTGTGTCACTTACATGTGGAATCTAGAGACACTAAACAAAGGATCAGACAAAGACACACAGTAAGTCTGACCCTAGAAATCAGACCTTAGACCTGACACAGGAGCAGAAGGGGAAGGAAAGGGGGAGAGTAGGGAATGGGGGGGCTGGTGGAGGAGGCTGTGTGGGCTTTGGTGGTGGAAAAACTGCATGACCCCAACTAACGGGAGAAATTCTATATTGTGAAAAAAAGAAACAAGAATGATTAACTAACTAAAAAAACAAACAAACAAGATGGCTGTAGAGTGTGATGCAGCAAAGCACATGATCTCGAAGGAAATGCCAAGATTGAATCCTAATTCTGCTCCCTCTTGTGTAGCCTTGAAACAAGTGTTACAATTTTCCAAGCTCAGTTTTAAACAAGGGGCAATAAGTCATTGAGGACACAGCTATGGGAGTGGACACTGCACAAAATTGAAAACCAACACAGTAGACCTTCTGGACACTAATTATTTCCATTTTGCCCACATGAAAAATAAGGCCCCTAAAAGTCTCTTCCATCATAGAAGCAGCGTGATGTCCAGCATCTCATCACGTGACTCAGGACCACGCAGAGGAGACTCCTTGTGAGCATCTGTGCAGTGAAGCCGTCTGTGCTCAGCTCCTCGTGGGCTGAGGCAGTTTCTTTCTTTCTTTCTTTCTTTTTTTTAAGATTTATTTATTTATTTATATAAGCACTGGGTACAGTCAGAAGCGTGGGAGAGTAAGAGAATTCACCAGAGCCAGAGCGGGGAACAGAACCGGCAGACCGACGAAATACACTGCTGAGGGGAGCGGCGGGCGGCAGGAGAGGTCTGCGTGCCATGTGGGACCCTTGCAGAGGCTGTGGGCAGCTACATAGCCCAGCTTTCAACTGCTGCGCCACAAGGGAAGGCCCTGGGCTGAGACAGTTTACTGCCCCACAAGCTCTAGATGTGGATGCAGTGGAGGACAGATACAGGGTAACTTGTAGACCCAATTTCTAATATGTTTCTAAAGCCACTTAACTGAGATATAACTTATGACCATTAAGTCACTTGAAGGCTCACCTCTCATGTCCTTTTGGTAAGCACAGAGCAGGGCAACCACCCCATAATCTAAGTTGAGAACATCTCCATCACCACAACACCCTTGTTTCCTTGGGCTCATGGCACCAATCCCACCCAGCCCTGGGCAGCAGAGCCTACTCTCTGCCTCTGGGGACAGGCCTGGGAACTCTCTCATTACACCATAGGCAACTCTGATGGCACAGACCTGCAGTGGGCATTTGGGTCCCCTAGCCCAACACATGCTGGTGCCCAGGAACAGATTCCACAGGGTGCTAATGTCACAGAGAACCACGTGACCTCGCCCAGGAGGACCTACAGCCTGGGGTGTGTGAGGAGAGAAGGGCTGCAGTACCTGCCTCAGAGGACACCAAGGGCAGAGCTGGGGAGGTTCCTTCCTCAGCAGGAAGGGGACATGGGAGCTGGGTCTTGAATGCCAGATGTGGGCACAGGAACAGAAGTGGCTCAGGGAGCTGATGGAAGGCCGACTACATGGGGGGGGGGAGAACATTATTGGATCTATATAAACACACATTTTGAAATAAGAAATTAGAATATTGGGCCTCCCCGGTGGCCCAGTGGTTGAGTGCTGGGTTGCAAAGCTGCCCGCAGCCTCTGCAGCACCGGTTCGATCCCTGGCTGCTCCCCGGCCACCGAGAGGGTCCCACATAGCACAAAGACCTCTCCTGCCACCCGCTGCTCCCCTCAGCAGTGTGCTTAGGTCCTTCTGCCTGTTCTGCTTCCCGCTCTGGCTCTGGTGAATTCTCTCACCCTCCCGCACTTATGACTGTACCCAGTGCTTGTATAAATAAATAAATAAATCCTTAAAAATAAATAAATATGTAGTGGTGTGGTTTAAAAAAAAAAAGAAATCAGAATATTTAGTAAAAATTTTATATTTTGGGGGGAGAGAGAAAAGCAGCTGTTTCAGCTTGCTCATAGAAAGATGCAAGATTTATGAGTCCAGTTTTGCAGTTTTCTTTAGTTTCATGACAAACCTGGATTTTTTTTCTTTGTGCGAAAGAACTTTAAAAGAATTAATGTTCATAGAGAGCAAAGAGAAGAACACTGGGGACAAAACACCCAAAGTTCCCCATCCCCTCATGGGTAAAGACCCAGCCACACAGCCTTGGCCCACAGCAGGGCCACTGCAGCCTGAAAGGTCCCTTGGGTCTGAGGTGCCTTCAGGTTGGGGCCTGGGAAGTAGATGGAAGGAGCCAGCAAGTCTGAGCCAAAAGGAGCAAAATTAAAGTACAAGGTACAGTAAAGGTCAGCCTCCCCATGGGTCTCTTCCAGGTATCTCCTTCCAAGTCTTTAAGTCCCTGGTTCAAGTCCAAAGCCAAGAGGCAAGGTGGCTTCTCCACACATCTATCTCCTGTGTGTCTCCCGGGGCTCTCTGCGCTGACAAACCTTTATGTTCTGAGCAAACAGCCCATCAGAACAGCCCATCACAGCTGACACTCGTGGTGTCCTCCACGATCAGCCCCAGAACTTGCCGTCAGCCTCCTGGTTATCCTGACCCGGGTACATCAGAGGGCGTCAGTGTCCGGCATGTAGCATGTATGCAGCCTGTATGTGTGCGGATTCCTGTGCTAGGTATGGGGCCCTTCCTCCCTGGCCCCTCTCAGAAGGACAGAGCTAAAGCAGAGGACAGGGCACTGTCTCTGGGTTCTCACCCATGTGCTCAGTTGCAAAACCACTCAGGCTCAGGGAAGAGCAATGAGGTTTCTTTAACAAACAGGAGAGCAGGGAAGTAAAGAGTCTCTAAGGCCTCAGTGGTGACTGTGTCACCCAGATAGTGTCCGCAATGTCCATAGTCCAAAATTAAGGCTGCCCGTGTAAGGTGGTACAGTCCTATCAGGGAGGGCCTGGAGCTGGGGGCACAGTTGCAAGCACTGGGCCAGGGTCCAAATCACAGTGGCAGCGGGAGGTGCTCCCAGGGGATGCTCCCCTCTGAGGAGACATCCCAGCAGGCACAGCCACAGTCTGAATGCCAGGCTAGACGGGAAGGAGGCCACAGCACCAGGAGGTGGTGCTGGACAGTCAGCAGCAATGGCAGGTCTCAAAGGTGACCTCGCTGCTGTAGCCCCATCTGAATCCTGTATTTGTGTTTCCTAGTTATGGCGCTGAGCCGTGGCATTATTAAACACAATGAGTTTTTCTTAATGAATGTGAGGGGCTAAAGCAAAAGGCTATAACCTGGTCCCCTCAATCATTTACTTTCTCTCCACCTTTTTAAAAATAATGGTTCAGACAATATAAGTTACAGATTCACTGGCTGGAAAGACACAGTCACTTCTTAGTTCACCCCTAGTGTTTACACAGGAGGTTGGTTTCTCTTGGTCTCTCAGCATGATCATCCCTCAGCAGGGCCCTCAATGTAGAGTTTCAAATGCTACCATTGCTATCTCTCCTGGCTGGATGTAGATTATTTTCCCTCATTAAAAATATTTAATAATTGGGAAATAATCTACTCAGCCTTTGTAACCTCTCCATGGGATAACTTTTCATTTTTACCATTTGCAGCTGGCTGCTGTGCTTTTCTTTTATCACCTTCATTCACATAACTGCAGTATCAAATACAAGATCCATCTCAGACCCAGCAAACAGCAGAGGCTGGGGAACCAGTGGTGGTGCAGGTGCAAAAAGACACAACGGGGTACTCAGTCAGCAGGAGTCAGGCTTTGTTGTCAAATGAGTCTGATGCCAAACTAGAGAGGGTCAGTCCACCACCCAGCACTGCCAGGCCAGGAAGCCTTGGCTGGTCTGCAGCCCTGGTCAGCAATAGGTGCAGCCTGGCGGGGCTCAAGGGTTAGTTTTGAAGTTTGGCTTAATCTGGCCCTTCGTCTGCTTTCTCGATATCCATATATAAGTGTTTCTCTTTCCTTTTGACTTTTCCCTCTTCCATCCATGTTGCTGCAGTGCCATGAGTTATGTTTTCTGATCGTGGATGCTATTTCATTATACAGGGACACACATCACCTGTACATATACATATATATATACATGTAATCCCAGCTTCTACTTGATTTGTCACCTGTTTGGGGCATTTAGGTTGTGTCCATACTTGGCTACTGTGAATAGTGCTGCAGTGGTGCCGGAAGTGCAGGTCCCTTCACAGGAGAGTATTTATCCTCTGTGAGTAGATCCTCAGTGAACTGCTGGGTGCAATGGCAGAACCACATTCACTCTTTTAAGAAATCTCAATGCTGTTTCCATAAGGGCTGGCTCAGTCTATATCCAAAAACAATGCAGGACTGTCCCCTTTTTTCCACATCCTTGCCAGCACTTGTTGTTTCTAGTCTTCTGGATACGGGCCATTCTCGCAGGTGTGAAGTAGTTTAAACCAGGGGATCCATAAAATGTGGGCAAAAATACATCCTGTAACACTCAGGCCAGCACAAGGCTGTCTCACACCATGAAAGAAAGAAAATAATCATGAAGAAATTCAGATGAATTACCTGAGTGTTAACATTATCAATAGTTCACTGCATTCTCAAGATGTCCTCCTGAAAGCATCCCCATAACCTAGTGCCAGCCTCTCTGCTTTAACCCCTACCCCCACTACAGGCCTCCAGGGTCTCACCTTTAGGGGCTCAGATACACTTCAGAGCCCTGGAACTCGACTGGGGAGAGCATAACAAAACTTGGTCAGAGATGAGACCAAGGAGAAACTGATGGTGGGGTCACTCCCCCATGGGCTCCATCTATACTGTTCCCAGGGGCTCAGGGATCCAACCCCTGACCCACACTTACCTGCAGCCTGAATGCAGCTTCCTCCTTGTCCACCTGTGGGAAGAAACATCATGTGAGACCAGGGAGGAGTAAGGCCAGAAGTCCTAAAGGAATCTTCTAATCCTACAGAATAGGGAAGTTTCCAGCACTCTGACTAAAGACCCAGGTCAGGACTGGGAGAAATAAAGAAAGGAGGTGAGGGGGGACTGGACCAAATGCCCTCTGGGCAACACATGTGTGTGGATGATACTTCCCATTAGCCAGGCACGGCAAGTTCTCCCTGGGACTTGAAAGCCCCCAGTGGAGAAGAACCCCCCACTCCCTTCCCTACCTGAGCACTTCTTCTAACATGGACAGCAACATGAAGCCACTATGAGTCCAACGTTCAAACCAAGAAGGAAAAAACCGAAAGCCTTGAGGGCCACGGAGGTGATGGAGAACTCAGAAGAAAACGCTGGAAGGGAAAAGAATGTGAGACCCTGACCCTGAGGCCTTAGTCTGACTCTCCGAAGGTCTCCAGAAGAGCTCCTGATGCCCCTGAGTCAGCATCTGTGCCCAAATCCCCCTCCTTACCCCAATTCAGGACTCGGGGTTCTAGCAGCCCTCCATGCTGCACATGACACTTGTATGTCTTCTGGTCTCCAGCAGACACCACCACAGCCGCCCACTTCTGGAAGTTTCCATCCCCCCCAGGCCTGGTCTCCACCAGCTCAATGGCCTGGGTCAGGTTCTCCCCATCTCGCTGCCAGGTCAGGGTGATGTCCGCAGGGTAGAAGCCCAGGGCCCAGCACTTCAGGGTGACCTCATGCTCAGAGATGGCGTGGTTGGTCACAAATGCCCTTTGGGGGCCTGAGTGGGGAAAATTGGACATTTCATGCTTTGTGTTTCCTCCATGGACACTGAAGCAGCCTCACGTGACCATCCTCCAATGGACAGCACAGTATGCTTGGAGGGAGGAAGCACAACCCCAGAAACCAGCCTGGTCTGGGAGTCTGGGATAGCAGGTGAGAGCCCAGGGTGGGATGCAGGTCTCTAAGCATTTTGTCCTTGACTTGCGTGGAGGGTGATGACACAGACAGGCAGGAGTGAGATCTCCAAAAATCTACTCTGACCAAAAAACAAGATCTTGAGAGAGAAACTCATTGTTCCTACGATGACTGCTGGTCAAAAACATCATGTAAAGGGTGATTTTAGGAGTGGTCTCCCCTCTTTCTCAGGAGAAACTGGGTTCCTTAACTGTCCTTCAGAAAAAGCAGGACCCTCCGGGCCAGTCTCCATCCCAGAGCTTGAACACGTGGCAGGCAGCTCCCTCTCTGGCCAGAAGGGGGCGCTTTCTCACCATGATTCCATTTCCCTGCGGGGTGCCCGCCTCAGGGAGATCCAAGGCCCCGCAGCCCTCTCACCTCTGAGCTGCAGCGCCTCCTTCCCCATGTCCAGGAGTCTTGGGAGCCACTCCATGCACCTGCCCTCCAGGCTGCTCCTGTCCTGCTCTGCCCGACCTTCCTCCTCCCCCTCGCGCCGGGTGATCTGAGGCGCCGTGTCCGCCGCGGTCCAGGCGCGCAGGTCCCGCCCAGGGCGATGTAATCGGCGCCGTCGTAGGCGGATTGATCGTACTCGCGGAGGAGGCGCCCGTCGGGCCCCGCGTCGCAGCCCAGAGTCCTCTGGATCGTGTGAGACCCTGAGCCCCGGCCCTGAGGTCAGTCCCCTGGTCTCGCGCCCGCACCCGATCTCCCTCCCTGAACAATCCTAAATTTAAAATAAAACCTATGGGTGAAAGTCCCGCTGGCTCTTCCCTGGTCAAAGGGCCTGGCAGGGGCCACGGCCTCGGGGGTCACTGGGCCCGGAGACTAGGGGCGGCGGGGGGCGGGGGGGACGGGAGCGGTGACCCGCCCCGGCCAGCGCGGCTCACCGTTGTGGCTCTGGCTGCGGCGGCCTCGCAGGTCCTCCAGGAGCGCTTGGAGCCTCTGCGCCGAGTGTCTTCGGTTCCGCGTCTCCTCGTCCTGATCCTCCTGCCCCACCTGCCCCGCCCAGGGCGCCAGCACCTCCACCCTCTGATCCGGAGAGTCGCTGTCGAACCGCATGAACTGCGTGTCGTCCACGTAGCCCACGGCGAGGTACCAGGGCTCCCCGAAGCCTGGCTGGGACATCACCATTTCTAAAAGCCTCAGAGAGTGGGAGCCTGGGGGCGGAAGGGGTGAAAGCCTGGCGGACCCTCCTGAGTCCCAGGGAGATGGGGCAGGGGAGAAAGTGTCCAGGAGGGAGGGAGCTCCAGAGACTGCAAATGGGCAGCGGGTCCAGAAGGGGCGAGACTCAGGGGACGAAAGGAGGAGGCAGGGTGGGGAGACAGAAAGGGACCAGGACTGAGGGGCGCCACGGGGGTGACAGAGGGGCCTAAGGCAGCAGCTTCCTCTGCAGAAGCCTTTTCCCTCCACCCTGCACTCACCAGCCCGTGACTCTGTCGGGGCCAGAGGCCTCACAAGCAGCAGCAGGAGCAGTATTGGGGGCCCCATGACCAGCATTGCTGGGGTCTGGGGAGCTTCTGACTCCAGGCTGGTGGGTGGAGACTTTACTGGGCAGGCAGTGATGCTGATTGGTTCTCTGGGAACCTCCAGGCACTGGGGACTGAGAACTGGGGAGGAGTCACAAGTGTCCAGGGCCCAGCACAGGTGGTGGAGACAGAAGTGAGGCTAAGGGGGCAGTGGGGTATCCCCAACAGTAACCTTCCTGCCCTAGACACAGCCCTGGGGCCTGGAACTGTGAGAACCACACTAAGGACCTGGGGCTTTGCTCTGCCCTCTCCTCTCCTCCCCCAAAGCTTCCTCACACTGTCTCGGCCACTGGGTCAGCGATTCTCAGTCATTTTCTTTTCTGGATCAATGTCCAGTCTTTCAAATTAGGGAGGACGCCAAGTGTACTCTTGTGCTACTGTGTGATTTTTTAAAGTAATATATCGTTCCACTAAGTTACAAAGACCTTCAGTGTTCATGACAGCGGAATCAAATTATTTATTTATTTTTTAAAGATTTATTTATTTATGCATACAAGAGGGGGTACAGGTCAGAGATGCAGGGGTGGGTGTTTTGGGTGTGTGAGAGGATTCACCAGATATAGAGCAGGGCACAGAACAGGCAGGCTGACTGAAATACACTGCTGAGGGGAGCAGCGGGCCAGCAGGAGAGGTCTGCTACGCCATGTGGGTAGCTCCCTGGCTGCCGGAGATCGAACTCGTGCTGCAGAGGCTGAGGATTGCTTCATAGTGTGGTGCTTAACCCCTTGCTCCACCAGAGCGGTGCTGGAATCAAATTATTTAATTTTTTTTTTTTTTATTTTTTACCACAAGTCCCAAAAGTAAAAGCAGTAATGGAAATTGTCAACTTAGTGATAGGACACAATTTTCCATAATTCTGGTTTTGTCTGAGCACTTTTATTTTGTCAAGGCGAGGTCACTGTCAGTTATCAATTGTCAGTTGAATGTCAGTTTCATTAAGGAGCACACATTCATTTTCAGGACAATGTCTGCCAATTAGCCAAATCCAAATAGCCATAGTTTTTGTCATTCATCCCTTCGTGTCAAGATGGGATTGCCTACAAAAAAAGAAAAACAGTCTAATTCATCTCGTGCAAATATTTTCCTTGGCACATAGTAGGTGGGAACGCAGCAGAAGTGCTCTGTGTGTACTTGCGTGTCATCACATCAGGTACTGTAAAATGTGGTTTTGAGGATGATAGAATAATGAAGCTAACTTTCAATGCTTCAACCAAGACATTTTGAAATGAAACTGGCTTGGAGTTGTGTTTCTGAGGTAAGTAGTGGTGAAGAATAACTACTGTTGCAGTTAGTAATATAAGCTCCATTTTTGCTAAGTTTTACCTCAGCAAATGTCAAAATAGTGAAAAAGCCAACCGTGTCTAAGTGACATTTTGAAAATACTTTTGACCTCATGGATCCTGTGACACGTTCTGGGTGACTTCAAGGGTTCCACAGAATGCACTTTGGTAAATGGTTTTCTCAGTGAACCAAGGAGCATCTCCCAAGTGTTCTCTGCCTTTGTCTCCCCTTCATTTCCCAGAATCCCTCTCCCTAGCTGGCTCCTGCCTCCCCAAGCTGCCTCCCCTGAAGACACAATGAAGAGCAGAGAAAGGGCCGTGGAGATGTGGAGCTTGCACTGTCATGAGATGGACACTGAGCAAAGATGACAAAGACACGTGTAAACCTTACCCGAGCCCTGTGCTGGGAGGAGGGAGAGTGTTTGTTGTGAAAGTAGACAAGTAGGAGTGCTATCAGGTACCCTTCTATTATTTTAAATAATGTCAAAAGATGTAAAAAATATATTAAAAACAGGGCCTCCCTGGTGGCATAAGGGTTAAGTCTCAGTGCTATCACTGCCTAGGACTGAGTTTGATCCTCGCCCAGGGAGTAGCCCACGTGGCAGGACAGACCCCTCCTGACTCACCAGCTGCTCCCCTCAGCAGTGTATTTCGGTAGATCTGCCAGTTCTGCTCCCCATTCTGTCCCTGGTGAATCATCTCACCACCATCCCCCACCTCTAGCCTATACCGCAGTTCTTCAATGTGTAATAAATAAATAAATCTTCAAAAAATACATTAAAAATAAATTAAGCATAAAGGTAGAAGAGTTTATTTAATATATAATCATAGAACAAGAGAAAGCTATTGGAAATTATAAATTTGTTCATATAAATGAATAATTCAGCAGATGAACTGGAATATTGAAGTCTCTCTCCCACTAAGTCATACAAATGGAAAAGAAATGACAAGCCGAGAGAAGACCTACAAGAATATGAGTCTGTCGATCTAGGGATTCCAAGTTAATAATACAACTATCTAAAAAATGGAGAGTGAGGTCCTCCCCGGTGGCGCAGCGGTTGAGTGCTGGATTGCGAAGCTGCCCGCAGCCTCTGCAGCACAGGTTTGATCCCCGGCTGCTCCCCGGCCACCGGAGGAGGGTCCCACATGGCACGCAGACCTCTCCTGCCGCCCGCTGCTCCCCTCAGCAGTGTACTTCGGTCCTTCTGCCTGCTCTGCTCCCCGCTCTGGCTCTGGTGAATTCTCTCACCCTCCCGCGCTTCTGACTGTACCCAGTGCATGTATAAACAAACAAACAAACAAATAAATAAATAAATAATACATGCCTCTTTCAAAAAATAAATAAATAAATAAATAATAAAATAAAATAAAAAATGGAGAGTGAAAATGATAAAAAAATTCAAGAAAATCCCTGAGCACTCACAGATAAAATGTGAATGCTGAGTGTCCTCCCCAGGTTCCTCCTACAGAGGATAAGCAGCCCCACACCATGATCCGTTGCCAGGAACTTTCAGAAAGAGGCTGGAGAAGGACAGACCTTGGAGCCCTCAAGAGACAACTTAGGTCTGGAGGTCAGAAGACCCTGGAGCCAGGCCTGCCCAGTCCTCAGGGGAATCCAGCCCAGACCCCATGACAGGCCCAGGTGAGGGAGGTGCTGGGGGCACAGACATTCACTTCAGCTGTTCGTGGGTTACTGTCCACATCTGCCGGGGACCAACCTCCGGCAAAATGTCGTGTCAGGGGTTCCTGAAAGGATGAGATGGCCTAGGCGACCTGTAAGGGGCTAAAACTTAAGGGCTGAAGGGAAGGGGATGAGATAGTGAGGAGACACTGACACTTGACGAGGTGCAAGTCTCTTCTACTGAGGGACTCAGCAGGTCTTTATTTATTCATTTTTAGCAAGTGAGATGACATCATCATGTGCAGAGAAGCAAAGCAGAAACAATCAGTGCATTCTTTTCCCTTAGACTTTTGGCTGCTATGTGCTCTCAGCAAGAAGGCAACCTTCAAGGTTAATAAAAAACTAAGCCTTACACTAGAGCTCATTGTTTCAGCTAAACAATAACCTCAGACAGCTGATAGCCGCCAGGACACCCCTATCAGCTAAAGCCTGAGCAAGAAAAGACTCCTCTTATTCACATGGCCTTCAGTGGGAGACCTGCTGCTATTCAGCTATCAGAACTTTTTCTACCTAGAAACTCCTTAACTCAAATAGCTTCATTTAAAAACTTTCCCAAGAAACTTCAAAAGAAGGCAAAAGAAGGACCTACTATAATTGTGCTGGATTGCTTGTCAGGCATGTACAATAAATTGTCTCCCATTGTCAAGTGGGCCAAATTGCTTAATAACTAATTTCTAAACAAATAATTTTCCGTGCCATTCACTTACAATATGCTGATATGTATAATTTATTGCCTAATGTACTTTCTGATAAATTTTTCTCTTTTTATGACCAAGAACAAAAAGCAAAGGGATGTTAGATGTTCAGCCCCACGGTGTGAGGCCCTTTTTCTTAGCTACTTGCTAGTATCTTATCTGGCTGGGGCAACAAGGCCCCCTGCAGCACACGTCCCTCCTCTAGTGGGCAAAGGGGGAACAAAGATGATGGACACAGAGAACAGGACACAGGAAAATCAGCCACAGGGGATGGGGAGAGGAGAGAGGCCAAGGGTGAGGTGAGGGCTCCGGGCCTTCAGCCCTGCCCACGTGAGCAGACCCTAGGCCCCGGGAAGCAGGACTGAGGCTGTGGGATAGGGGTCTGCCCAGGATGAAGCAGGAAGAATAGCTGGTGTGTGTTATATGTCCATGGAGATTCTGACCCTGGGGTGGTCTTGGGGGTGATTAGGAATGAGCACAACTGGAACTAAACTAGTGAGGGAACAGGATAATTATAACTTCAGAGAAGAAAAGCATTCTGGTCTACTCACTGCTCAGTTGTGACTGGTTCTCACAAGGTCATAATGACCAAACCCTGAACTACATGTATCTCAAAAATCTGCCAGAGGGGCCTCAGGGGGCAAATGCCTGTGCTATGGATTCCAAGGGCCACTTCTTAGGTCTCCTTGCAACTCAGAGTCTGCTCTGAAGGCCTGGGCAACAGGCCTGGGCAGTGTGGGCAGGAACTTCTCCAAGATCCTATTGAAGATTTCAATGTGAAGTAGAACAAGGGACCCCAGGAAGGCTGTGGGGAAGATAGTGACCAGTGACCCTGGGGAGGAAGCCACAGCTGGTCATTCATCAGAGGAAACACAAAGAGCAACCAAGAGACCAGGTCCTTCAGAACAAGCCCCACATGCTCTGTGGTGCCCCAGCCTTGAAACAAGAGGCATCTCTTCTGAAATCACAAATGATTCTGGCTAAGGATATTAAAAATTTTGAACAGGACACATTTCAACTGATGCCAGTGTTGGTAGAGATGGACTATGCCATCCCTAACAGCATCTACTCTGATGTTCTTGTTCACTCTCTTGTTGTCTATCTTGTTCCTGGTGTTCCCAAACATCCAAATGCATGGCTAGCCCCAATTTCTGACCTTTGTTTTTTTTTTTGTTTTTGTTTTTTTTTTCCAATTTCTGACCTTTGAGTCCTCCATTCAGTGAGATTTGTTTTTTGTTTCTGTCCTGTGAGCTTGTTTGGATTGGGGAATTCATCAGTCATAGGTGCATACTCACAGATTTCTGCAGGATCAGTCTGCCACTCAAGGGTAGAACTCCCTCTAGTTCTTTCTGTTTTTCCAGCAGTTTCTCTTGAGTGTCCCACACCTGTGTGGTTTAGTGGCCAGCCAGGAATTTGATAGCTTGCATTCAGATTTGGGATCTCAACCTTCCCCCTTTTGTTAAAGTATATATTAATTAAACTTCCTTGGACATGCTGTATTTTAAGGATATCCTTTAAACCCACATAGAGAAATCCATGACTTCCATGTGAAGATAATTTTATTATACATCAACCTATGCATTACATAGATTGGGGAGCAGATACTGAAATTTAAGAACATTCTACAAATGTCCTGTCCAATATGGCAGCTACAAGGAACATACATGAGATATAATGAAAAGTTAAAGATCTCTGCTCATGAACCATATCTCAAGTGTTCAGTAGCCCCATGGTTACAGGCACCATATTGTTCAGTGCACATGGAGAACAATCCCTTCTCCTAGAATATTCTGTTGCACAGCACAGCTCTTCACGCTTTGGGGATATCAAGTCAAATGCCTTAGACATATACACATGTAAAGTGAAAGGGCCAATATTATCTCTCTTAAGTAATAGGTCAGGTCACTATCTGGATAGACATACATATTAAGCTGGTATAAAACAAAACTAAAAAATGTTCTGGTGCCTCCAAACACAAACTGTTCCCAGTTGCAAAGGGAAACATTTGTCCCGTCTCCCCTCTCAGGCAGAGGACATGTTCATCCTCTCTGAGAACTGAGTTCTCTTCCAGGAGAGTCCAGGATAAGCTCAAAGATAAGCTTTGGGAGCCTGACGCCCAAACAGGGAGAGGGATTCTGGAAATGAAGAGGAGGCAAAAGCAGAGAACACTTGGGAGACTCTCCCAGGTTCAGTGAGAAAAACATCTTTCAAAGGGCAGTCTGTGGAGTCCTTGATGTCACCCAGAACCTTCCACAGTACCCATGAGGTCAAATCCATTTTCATAACATCACTTGGACCAACACTGGCCTTTCGACATTCCTCTGAGGTAAAACTTAGTAAAAATGGAGACTACAGTACCAACTGCAGTAGTAGTTGTTCTTCACCACCACTTACTTGTAGAAAAAAGAAATCCAAACCAGTTTCACTTCAAAGGATCCTGGTTAAGTCAAGAAATTATATTTTCCATTTTATCATCCTGAAATCCACATTTTTAAAAGGTCTGAAACCATGACAAGGAAGTGCACATAAAGCCTGTCTGCTGCAGGCCAAAGGGCCGTGTCCGGGGGAAATGTATGAAGTGAATTTGCCTCTTCTTTTAGGCAATCCCATCTTTAATTGAAGGAATGAATGGCTACAGCTATGGTTACTTACACTAGTTGAATTGCAAATACTTTCCTGAAAATGAATGTGAGTCTGTCCCTTTAGAAAATCAGATGAATATTGACAACTGACATCACCTGTTGTCTCAATAAAATGTAAACTCCAGATAAAATGTAAAAACCATAACTATGGAAAATTGAGTCCCATTGCTATAAACTTGAAAACTTCCAGTATGGACTAATGTTTCTTTTGGGATCTGTGGTTAAAAAAAAAAAAAAAAAAAAAACTACAAAAAAAACCCAGAAACTTTTTTTGATAATTTCTTTCCAGTGTAATGAACACTGAAGACTATAAACAACCCAGTGAAAATGCATTACTTTAAAAAATAATATCATACAGTAGCACAAGAACCAAAATATGCAAGTGAGGCCTATGGAATAAATGTAACAGAATAGGAAATAGTCAATGGTATGTTTCAGATTTCACTTTGCAAATAACCTTTGAGAAACTACTACTTACATCGTTATAATTTAATATCAAAGTTGAATTTTCACAATTATCTGAAAAGGTTATTCCAATACTACAGCTCATATTATCATGAGGCTGTGTATTTTTTCATAGACTTCAATTGAAACAACAGAATACATGTAGAAGAAAATATGCAAATTCAAAGATCTTCTAATGAGCAAACAAGAAAGACACAAAAATTTAAAACTTTTCTCATTATCCTGATTCTTTTCAGATAATTTTCTTAAAAATAAAGATTATTAATATTATTAATAAGATTATTAATATTATTCTAAGTGAAATAATAACTTTGAAAATGGTTTCATTCCCTGTGTGTTGAAAATTGATCACTATACCCACGTGAACAAAATTATATTTAGGGTCCTCACTAATTTGTAAGACTGCACAGAGATCCTGAAAGGAAAATGTTTGAAAACCGCATGGACTGCCCCTGGCCTGCACTTGGGGAGACTGTGTGACAAGCACTTGATGCAGGGGAGGAGGGGGCAAAGCAATGCCCCTCCCCCCTCCGGTTCCCAGGGTCTCAGTCCCCAGGGCTTGTCTGGGGCCAGGAAAGTGACTATTGGGGATTCCCCACCTCCCTTCCATAGCAGTTGCTCTCACAACCTGTATCAGGTCCTCTTACCTGGATACTGGTGACTCATCCCAGTTATCACTCCCTATTGGCTGGAGATCTCCAGAGCAGTCAGTCAGCATCACTGTGGCTCCCATCAACCGGCCTGCCCTCAGTCTCCCCAGGCCCTGGGATGCTGGTCATGAAGCCCACAATCCTCCTGCTGCTGCTCTGGGGGGTGGAGGGGGGGATAGAGGGGTGAGAGAAGGAGAAGGGAGAGGGACAGAGTTGGCAGGGCTGGCCTTAACCAACTTCTGCACGGGTGAGTTAGGATCAGGCAGGAAACTACCACTGTGGGGTGAGAGGAAGAGGTCAGGAGCCCCCGGGAGTTTCCCAGGACCCCAGGAAAGGCACATCTCTGCAGCTGTCAGTTCTGCAGTCCCCCCTCTGCCCTGCCCTAGCTTAGTGCCTTTCTCCCTCCACCCCAAGCCTGCCCTGAGTCCTCTTTCCCAGGAGCCCTTCTGGAGATCTTCAGAGGGTCAGGATGAGGCCTGTGGGTCGGGGTCTCACCTTCCCTTCCCTTCCAGTGCCCCCTCTTTGGTCCTCCACCGTGGGCAGCACTGCTGGCCTGGTCCTTGGAGCTGTGCTCACGGGCGCTGTGATGTGCAGGAAGAAATTCTGGTAAGAAAGGGTGTGGGTGGAGGGATCTTGTCCACTGGTGGTTTTCAGGTCCCAGGTAGGACTTACCCTGCTGGTTAACACACTGTGTTGCCCAGTCTGGAGCTAATTGCCAACACTCACTCTTTTGTAAAACACTTAGGAAAATGAATCACAAATTGTTCTCCTTGATAATTCTGGTGATGGGGCCCTTATTTCCAGCAAATGGAAGAGGGGAAGGTCCCTGCTGAGGACAGATTCCAACCAGGAGGTGGTAGGTCCAGTCCCCCCTCATCTCCTTTCTTCATATCCTGGTCCCGCCCTGGGTGCTCACAGTTTGAAAACTTCCCTGTGGTCCAGATGTGGGGATACCTTTAGGGCTTCATGTCCTCACTCCTCCCTGGTCTCACACCAAGTTTCTTCCCACAGGCGGACAAGGAGGAAGCTACACTCAGGCTGCAGGTAAGTGTGGATCAGGGGTTTGGTCACTGAACTCCTGGGGACAGTGGAGATGGAGCCCATGGGGAAGTGACCCCACCATCAGTTTCTCCTTGGTCTCATCTCTGACCAAGTTTTGTTGTGCTCTCCTCTGGACAGCCGAGTCCCAGGGCTCTGAAGTGTATCTGAGCCCCTAAAGGTGAGACCCTGGAGGCCTGTGGTGGGAGGGGCTTGGGCAGAGAGGATGGGACCAGGTTATGGGGAAGCTGTGAGGGGGACATTCTGAGGATGCGGTGGACTATGGAGAATGTAGACACTTAAGTGATTCACCTGAATTTGTTCCTAAACTAATTTCTTTCACAGTGTCAGACAGTGGCCTTTTGGGGACTGAGTGATGAGGATTTCTTCTGATCTCCATTTTGTGACTTCAAGATTCCCCGGTTTAAATCACCATGAGATACCACCTCACACCTTTGAGAATGGCCCATAACAAAAAGATCAGAAACAACAGGTTCCTGAGGATGTAGAGAAAGAGGGAACAGTCCTATGTTGAGGTGGGGATGCATACTAGTCCTGTCCCCATGGAAAGGGTAAGGAGTGTTCTCAAAAGATCAAAAATGGATCTTCCCTGTCACCCAGCAATTCACTACTTGGCAGCTACTTGAAGAATATAGAACACTAATTTGAAGGGAAACTTGCATACCTGTGATTACTGCAGCACTGTTTTCAGTAGCCAAGCAATGGAAACAAATTACCCAAAACAGAGGAGTAGCTCAAGAAGATGTGGTCTGTATACACAGTGGAATACTACTCTGCAGTCAAGACAATAAACTCATGCCATTTGTGCAACATGGATGGAGCTGGAGGGGATTATACTAAGTGAGTAGTTGGAAGGAGAAAGACAAATTCCAACAGTGTCACTTGTGTCAGAGACATAGAGAAATCAAGCAAAAGCTCAGATAAGTCAAACTGCAAATATAACCCTTGAAATCTGACTATAGATCTGTGCTACCAGAGGAGTAGCAGGAGGGATGAGAAAAGTGGGGGGACACCTTGGACTATGATGGGGACCATAGGTGCTTTGGTAGTGGGTGCTGAATTAAAAACACCTGAAGGGCTGATCCTACACTTCTGAAATACAGTGATGTAAACCAATGCTACCTCAATAACATATATACTTGTATTTAAAACATCCCCTGGTTTTCTGGCTGCAAAGGGTGTCCTCATGTGTCTGCGCTCCTATTAGCATAATGTGAGGAGGTGGGGAGACTGGTCCAGCCCTGCCCACCAGGACCCTCCCCACACTGACCTGTGTTGTCCCCACAAGGTCCCGGGTGACCCATGCACACAGGAATACATAGCATTAGAGATTAATATCCAGACTCAAAGTTTTGGCTTCCCTTTAGGACTCTTTCTGGATTATTCTTTCCATATTTTCTCCATCATTTTTAAAGAACCCAATTCTGGTATTAGTAGAGAAAAATATCAGATAATTCCTCCTTTTAGTTCAGTTCCTTCTCTGCAGCTGGCCCCTCTCCCTGACCTCCGGCCTAGTTTTCCCAGTGCATCTGTGTTGTCTGTGGAGACACAGTCTCATTTCTGACCTTGGTTCCTCACCTTTGAGGACGATCCCCAGACAGATCTCAGTGTCAGGAAGCCCCAGTGACATATGAGGCACTTTCATGGGTTGGGGGGTCATCTGACAAAGACACATGGGGATGTGCTTCAACGGGTCCTGCAGGGGTGTCCCCATAGTAACTCACCCTAGTGAACCTTTCAATGAACAACATGAGCCAAGCAGCGTGTATCCAAGTCCTGGGTTTTTACTTCTATTGTCTGTGGCTTGGAGATGTTGTTGCCACCACAAATGATTCTTGTCCTTTAAGCCCGGGTTTCAATAAGATGAAGGGAGCAAAGGTGAGTTTACAGAAGAATAAGACTGAGGACGGGAGCCCGGTGCAGCCACCAGACGCTCTGGCAAAGCTGTTCAAATTTCAAGTCTCACGATTAGAATTTTATAGAGTCCACAAGGAAAATATCTTACACTTTCGAGGATTTTTACAGAGAACAGCCCATAACAGGTGTCTAGTTAATGCACCTATTTGACCTGCCTGTGCACTGAGGAGCACAAGGAGCCTTATCTCCTCCGGGAGCGGGGGTGTGAGCAGGGCCATCCGCTTGAGCTCTGTCTTCACTGGAAGTTACTGATCTGCGGGGAGACAGCTTTTTGGTATTGCAGATGCGGCTTCTCAGCAAGGCCAGACCCGCTGTATCTTGGCTCTTGGGCGTGTGCCCTTAGATGAGACCAGGCAGATGGACCCTTTTATTGCTGATTTTACTTTACAGTCCTAAGGTCTTTCCCTCCCTGCTCCTTCTTTTCCAAAGTGCCTGCTTTGTCTGGGTGGCCTGGATGGCATGATAAGCTTCCCTCTTGGGATTTTTTGGAACCAAAGGGATCCTCCTTCCTGGTCTTGCTCTGCCTCTCCCAGTGCTGCAGGGACTGTTCATGCGCGGCCTCCTCTACCTTTTAATTGGCATGACGGTGAGGATGATGGCAGAGGCTGATGTGATGGATATTCTCTCCCCCACGGTAGTTCTGGTTGGGGCCTCTGTGCCTCCTCTCCCGTCTGATGATTGTCAGCAGAAAACACAGGCCACAAAGGTCCACAGTGAGAGACTGTGGGTGCTGGGGTGGTTGGTGTGTTTGTGGGCACCTGCATATGGGAGGTGTGAGCCTGATCCCTAAGTCATGTACAGGGTCTTAAACCAATAACACTTCAATAATGAAAAAAAGGTGAGGCCAAAGAAGCAGAACACCTCTCCTAAAAGAAAAAAATTGCCCACCCATAATTCAATATCCACCAAAAATGTCCTTCAAGAGTGAAGACAAAATAGGCCTTCAGATCCACAAAAAAAATAGGTTGTGTCCCTAAAGGTCCACCCTGTGGGAAATGGTAAAGGACATTCTCCAGGCTGCAGGTAAATGATACAAGATGGAAACTCAGAATCTCAGGAAAGAGGAAGAGCATTAGGAAAGCAAAAATCTCAGTGGGAACAAATTACTATCTCTTCTTTTTTTTTTTTTTGATCCTTTTGCATTACTTTATAAATATAGTGATTTAAAATGGAAATTAAGGGCCTCCCTGGTGGCGCAGGCGGTTGAGTGCCACACTGTGGGGCTGTCCGCAGCCTTTGCAGTGCCGGTTCGACCCAGCCGGCCAACGAGTGTCCCACATGGCACAGTGGACCTCTCCTGCCTCGCCCGCTGCTCCCCTCAGCAGTGTTTCGGTCATCTGCCTGTTCTGTTCCCTGCTCTGTCTCTGGTGAATCCTCTCACCCTCCTGCACATAGGGCCTGTAACCTGTTTCTTGTATAAAAATAAATAAATCTTTAATAAAATAAAATAAAACGGAAATTAAAACATTCCTCAGGGTTTGTCTCCTATAGAGATACATAATCTGTAACACCAACAACATAAGAGACACAGAGTACAAATCGTTGCAAGATTCCAATAATGTGTAAACTAATATATTAGCAACAGGAAGTGGACTGTTATGTTAAGGATGTGTGGTGTAATTCTGAGGTCTACAAGAACAACAGTGCCTCTCCCTGGTCACTGCCTATGGAGGTGGCAGCCATCTCCCACCTGGCACCATGGCAGCCCTCAGATCCCTCAGGAAGCCCAGATTCATCAAAAAGAGGACCAAGAACTTCATCAGGCAACAGTCAGACTGGCACGTCAGAATTAAGGGTAACCGGCAGCAACCCAGCAGCAGGGATAACAGGTTATGCAGAAGGCTCATGGGCCAGGTCTGATGCACAGCGGGGTTTACAACAAGAAAACAAAACGCAGGTGGCCCAGTGGCTCCATCAAGTTCCTGCTGCACAAGGTCAAGGAGCGGAAGTGCTGCTGCTGAGCAACCACCTTCCTGTGCTGAGGTCACCCCCAGAGTCTCCTCCAAGAGCGGCAAAGCCACTGTGGAGAGAGCAGTGCTGCTGGTTCCCGAGTCACCCAGCCTGACGCCAGCATGTGCACATGTGTTGTGCAAATAAAACCATGAAACCCAAAAGTGAAACTAATACAAAAAAAATGCTGATAGGATATTAAAACAGAATGCTAGAGAAGGACCAATCTTAATCACCTTTATTTTGAAGCACACTCTCACAGGATATATAATCCTTTCTAGGCCTCTCTTTACTAGAGGACCTTGAATCTGTCCCTCCAGTTTCTCTGCTCTATGCTATTTCTTTAAGACATCACCACTCATCACATTGTTGCTCCCTGTGCATTAGTCACCTCAATGTTGGCAACAAACTACTCCAAAGCCAAGCAGCTGAAAACAACAGAGATTTGATATCTCACTGCTTTCTGGGGGTGAGGGGTCAGGAGGTGGTCTCACTCTATAGCTCCAGCCCCAGGTCTCACCAGGCTGCAGTCAGGATCTCGACCCAAAGGGAAAGGCTCTATTTGGAAGTTTCTGGTTTAAAGTTCATTCATGTGACTTTTGGGGGAAAAGCCTCAGTTCACTGGCATGTGGTTATCTCCATGAGTGTCCACAACACGGAGCATGGCAGGTGACTGGCCCAGAGAGTGACCAGGGGAGAAAACCACAGCGCTGTGCCTGGGAGGGGCAAGGAAGACATTGTGGGCCTGTGCTTAGGGATATTTAGACCATTTTTCCCTCTATTGTAAAATCTCATCATCCTGCTTTATGATTGGTTCTTTGTCTTCCTCTGGGCAGATGTGCCCATTTCCCCAGCTCTGATCTTAGAATTAACCTCCCCTTTCTAAGGTTTTACTCTCTCAAATTTCACTGTCTTTGTTGAATCCTCCTGGGCTGTCTGACCACAGCACCGGAGTATGTTTGCTTAGCACTTCTTAGAATGCACTGTCCTTACCTCAAAAGCCTCTTTACCTTCTTGAAGTCCCTGCCTGCACCATCACTGAAGCTGCCTAATTAACCCTAACTTGCCCTGGGACTCAAAAATAATGGACTAACCTTCTCTTTTACCTTTGTAAAGCCATTCAGAGCACATGAATTCCCTTATATGGGTATTACTTTAACGTTACATAAAAAATTATTAACAGAAAACACAAGTCAGAAAACCTATAGTCTTAAACTTCAAATCAATCATGAACTTTTCTTAGATTTTTGAAGACATAAAAAGAGAAATCATTTCAAGTAACTGCTCCAACTAAATGCATATGTGGGGCCTCCCCTGTGGCGCAGCGGTTGAACGCTGGGTTGCGAAGCTGCCCGCAGCCTCTGGAGCGCCAGTTCGATCCCCGGCTGCTCCCCGGCCACCGGAGGAGGGTCCCACATGGCGTGCAGACCTCTCCTGCTGCCCACTGCTCCCCTCAGCAGTGTACTTCGGTCCTTTTGCCTGCTCTGCTCCCCGCTCTGTCTCTGGTGAATTCTCTCACCCTCCCGCACTTCTGACTGTACCCAGTGCTTGTACAAATAAATAAATCTTAAAAAAAATATAAAATAAATGCATATGTGTAAAGATGTGGGACAATCAGCTGTCAGCATCCTATTTTCCAGGTTTTAGCTGAAATGACTGTCTTCAGTGTTTCAGGTTTTTATTTGGTGTGCTTGGGGGCAACTTGCCTTTGGGCCTAACCAGAGGACAATACTAAAGTATATTCATGATCCTCTCTGAGAATGTGCTGTAAATGGGTGTCTAGCCCCATGAGGCCATGATGAAAACAACAAACCACTTGAACCAAGAGGTTCACACAGCTTCACAGCTACTTTGACTTTATCTTAGGTCAAAGTCTGTGGTTTCAGTTTCCTGCAGCTTCTAGAACAGAAACTTTACTGCAAAAGAGCTTGAGGAGATGCTTCCCTGCTTTCCTGAACCTCCTTGTCCAGGACCCCACAGCTCTTCACACTGGACAGGGTGGTCTCTGTCCACATCCTACTTCCTCCCCTCCTGCTCCCTCCTGTGCAGCCCTTCTCCTCTGGGCTCAGGTGCTGGCCCCGCCTGTGGAAAGTTGACAATGATGGGTCGTCCCCAAACTTGCTGTTTAATTTCAGTCAACACTTTGCTGTTTCTCATCTTTAACAAGAGCTGACAATGGTCTTGTTAGGGGAGAAAAGGATGTCCTAAAGCTAATTCCATACAGGCTTTGTGAACTCCACCCCCACCCCAGGCCAAAGCCAAAGACACTGGGAACTCCAAATCCCATCACCACCAAAGGGAAGGTGGCTGGGACCTGAGGGTGGGGTTAAGCAGCCAGATTGGTATAAAGGCAGACACATGGGCTTTGGAGGGGTCCCCCATTTTGGCTCTCCGCCAGCTCACAGCATCTAGCCAGCTCTGAGAGTGGTTTTTGGGTTTCCAAGTCGGCGGATCGGGTAGGACGCATTAATGACTTTATTTCCCTATTTTCTCCCTGAGTTATACATTCTCCTTATTTCCTTTTCC